TTGGAACCCCCCCAGCAGAGCCAAGGGGGGGGGCGAGGGGGGGGGACAACCGGGGGGGGGGTCACATGCGATGAGCAAAGTCCTGTTGCCGCAGCAGGCTTAGGCTTGGCGTGTTCCCTCCCTGCCTTCTCTGACACTCTCTCTTCCTCCCCCCCCCAGGTTGAGCAGCCTGTCTTCGTTGGGCGACTCAGCCCCAGAACGGCGCTCTCCGGGCCACCGCCGCCAGCCGTCGGACTGCAGCGAAACCACAGGTTTGCGCAGAAGGGATGAGGTCCCCGGGTCGGGCACCCTCTCGCCCCGTTTAGTCTTGGGTCTGGGTTTATTTATTATTTCTTTATTTATCAAATTTATACCCCGCCCTCCTCGCTGAGGCGGGCTCAGGGCGGCTTACAGTATACATATAAATGTGACCATTAAGAATTCCCAATATGTACAAAACAACATCAGTTTAAGAATCCAATATAAAATCCTAGTTGCACAGCACTCAACCAATGTTCCCTCTAAGCTGTGGAGTCTTGTGAGCAAAAATTCTCCTTTATGAGCTACTGGCATTAAAGTTGTGAGCGAGCGATTTGGCTGCTGCATGAATTAGTTTGCTCTTCTGGAGCCATCTTTCCTGAGCCAGGACAAAAATGTGTGAGCCAGAGGCTAAAAAACTCTGAGCTAGCTCACACTAACTCAGCTTAGAGGGAACATTGCACTCAACTGCAATACAAAATGGCGACATTCTGTCAGGCTCCTTGTTGTTGTTCAGTCGCACAGTTGAGTCCGACTCTTCGCGACCCCAACATGGACCAGATCCCGCCAGGCCCTCCTGTCTTCCGCCGTCCTCTGAAGTTTGCTCAACTTCATGTTCGTTGCATCTATGACACTGCCAGGCTGTTAATCATCCGGCTGCTGGTGAAGTTAATATTAAGGCCAGGTGGAGAGAAAGGGCTCTTTGCTCCCGGAAGGAGGATACTGCGCCGTGCCTAGCGGGCAGACTTTTAATGGCACCTTTTCAGCGATGGACGGGCAGTGACACGGTGGTGTGCGCACTCCTCTCTGGCGCGTATGCCTGCACCCTGTACAGTTTTTGTTTCCTTTTCAAAGGCAGCAACCCGCTTTCTTTATTTTAATTTAATTTTATTATTTTGATTTATGTTGCACCCTTCCCGTAAACGGGCTCACAGCAATAAACACAACAATCTAAATTAATACAGTAAATAATACCGTACAACCCCAGCCAATGCTCCCTCTAAGCTGTGGAGTCTTGTGAGCAAAAATTCTACTTTGTGAGCTACTGTCAGAACCCACAGCCAACAACGAAGTACACGCATTCAGGAACAGTAATACTTTTATTGCAGAGCTATAGATGCAGTAACATAAGCACTGTTAAGAATGGCGGCTGCCCCATGGGCATAACAGGATATAGGGTATTCGTATGCACCCCCCCCAGCACTGGCCAATTAGGCACCCCCCCACGCATGGGATAAAGCTTGGAGACCATTAAGTAGCTGAAGCTGAGAAACAACACTCTCCACGGCACCTAAGAGAAACCCAGACAATACAACTCCCTCCTGCCCATCTGTATAGATAAGCGTTTCGGTGCAAAGCAGGAAAAGCACAGAAAGGAATTCCGTAG